ATACAGATACTTATACTTAGATACAGATACAAATAAAGATACAAAGATTCAGATACACAGATAAATATGCACAGATCCAGATACACAGATACAGATACAGATACATAGATACAGAAACACAGATACATATACAAATAAAGATACATAGATATAGATACACAGAGACAGATACATAGATACATATACATAGATACAGATGCACAAATACATCTAAACAGATACAGATGAAGAGACACAGCTACAGATTTACGGATAGTGATAGTAGATGCAGTTAAACATATACGGATACAGATACAGATTTTGGACCATAATATAGTGCCCAGTATATGTATATTCAAAGCCGTGGCTTCAGTTCACCAAGTTAAACGTCTAAGTTTTACGTAACATAATAAAGTGAATAACAATTTGCTTTAATTTTAGCTGACAATATTGAATGCTCGTAATTTGGTATCTATGGATAAAAATGGATTATGTGATTCATTCGTCAAAGTCTTTATGATTCCCAATATAAGATTTAATGGATTTACACCACTTAAAACTGCCGTTCATAACAAAAATTGTTTTCCCCTTTATGATGAACAATTTAAAATGTAAGTGTAATTTATTTTAGCTAAGGTAATAAGATTTTATCTTATCAACTTATATAAATTAGACATTTGACTCCAGAACAACGCCAGATGGAAGATAGCTTGATTTTATTTTGTGTTAAGGATAAAGATTTATTTGGAATGACAAGTCAATATATAGCTGAATGCTATATAACATTTGCAGATATTATTGCAGCTGAAGGCGAACAGATTCTAATGAGTCTATGTAGGCCAGAGTATACTGGTAAGTAGCTAATTGAAAAGTTTAAAAATAAATTTGACTATTTCATTTCATTTTTATTTTTGAAGATTCACATGCACTACGAGCTCTGGAGTATAGACAAGGTGATAAGCAAGCGAAGGAATTCCTAAAAAAGCTAAAGAACAAATCATATTCGTAATCTCAACTATTGACGAATGTCTAGTCTTGTAATTTCCAAATGAAATGATGGTATTATTTATTTATTTTGGCAGACTGGATCCCAATGTCAATACCAACTAGACATACGCATTTAAAAATAAAATCGTGAACCAATTATATTTAATAATAATAAAAATGAATATTCGAACAACAGTATTATCATCAAGAGCCGACTGACTTATTGTACAGATATGGGTATTATATTTATTTATTACACCCTGTTTATTATTTATTTTTTTATTTGCTTCTTATGAGTTAAAATTTTATATTGAATTTAATGTAATACTGTGAGATTATTTAATGAAGTGCTTCATATGTAAGTTTATATCTGAAATGGCATGACTGAAGTGGCATGACTGCAATTGAGACATAGATAACTAAAACAGTAACTGGGAAACACATGGACTTTTGATGCCTTGAAAAGGATTACATCTGTTCCTTGCACCTGAGTGAATAAATATGTATGTAATTGCTTTTGACTTTTTGGCCGCAGTTGCCCCTAATATTTGTTTTTAGCAAGCCGACTAGATGTTCAGCAAGTTGATAAGGGTGCATATCGATGCATAATATCAATGCCGTTTTGTTCAGGTGTATTGGGTTAAATTAGTATTAGTATTAATGGTTAAAACCAAAATGTTGTCTAGCAATATCTGTTGTGAGGCCTAGCAAGACTTTTACGTCATCTAGATCACTGTGCATACGATGTCCGCTATCGATACACTTATAGTCAGATTCGATTTAGCACATCCTTAGTGTGTATGGATGTATACTTTGTGCTTTTGCTCTTTAACTAATCAATGACTCAGTCTTACTCGATTTGGCACACCCTCATGATATATATGTAGTAGATACCATATCTTTTTATACCCTGAACCCATTGAAAATGGGAAATCGGGGTATAATGGTTTTGTTAAAA